AGAAACCTTTTCCCTGTATTGTCGGTTTTGCATTCAACGAAAGTTTCGTATTGACGAGTGAATTGGCAATATTGTTCGGGATTGCCATCGGAAGGTGTTATTCCGACTTATGGGAAATCGACGTTTAAATGGGCATACGTTCTCTGCTTTGGGACGAATTCTTCATTTGGCGGGAAGCCACTGTGTACAGTCTCAGCTAGAGGTGATGTTGTGCCGTTGAAATAGGCATTTCTACATTTGGCCTGTTCAATCTGCTGTCGAGCTAATCGCAATTCATGCTCTACTTCAGAAACCAGCAATCTAAATATATCGATATCCTTAACATCTGAATTTACCCATGAAACAGCACTGACAGGACTTACAGACATAACATTTATTAAAGAATAAAAATGACCAACAGCCCCCCCCCAGTGACTCTGCCGGGTTACTTTCTGTCGGGTTTCAGTTTCCTTGACTCCTCATTTTGGCATCTTCGAAATAGATTTTTCGTTTGATTCCAATTTCAGTACTGTAGGTAAGCCAATTCGCACTTGAGTGATGCGTAGCCGAAACCGATACGAATCCCGAAATAAAACACGATTGATCCGTAATGTTCTACGGTACTGAATTACGGAAACCATTACAAAATTTGCAAAAAAGCAAACCTCAAATATGCAGCCAAAAGCACTCAAGCAAGCGAGCCAAGCATGATGTCCAGATAGAGCCAAACAGTCACTCACGTTCTCTGACCACGCAAGATTGAAATATACCCGGCATCGAATTAACAGATTGTTAGGACGGAGCGCACAAAATCCGTCCTGCCACGCAGCAACGCGCGTCACACCACAATTGCGCTCGTGACGCCCAAGCCGAATCGACTCCTGAGTGGATGACTAAGGCGAATCAAATAACCGTCGTCCGGTCGATCAACCTGAGTGTCAAGGTCGCGATCTGATTGGCGCGTCACCACGTCTGCTCGCGTACGCCCAACTGACCACATATATTTGCTTGTTGTTTCATGATCAAATACACACTCTGACTGTCGTTTCTCAGCAGTGTTCTTTCTCCAGTTGTTTGGGCCTAGACAAAGAAGCGTACGTATCGATCGCATCGTCTAGACATCACGACATAACAAATGGCGACGGAAGAATCGGAAATTTCAATGCATTCTTCGGCAGATCAATTCCAACTCCTGTTAATGCAGCAACAGAAACAGATGGAGGCTCAACTGAAACTAATTGAATCACTGACGCAGCGGCTCAACCTGCAAACAACAGAATCAGTTTCACGTGAAATCTCCTCTAGCGCTACCGAAATGCTTGCAAATTCCATCACTGAATTAAGCTATGATCCTGAAACTGGTCACATATTTGAAGCGTGCTTCAAACGTTGGGAAGATGTGTTCCGAATAGATTTCATTTGTGAAGATGATGCATGGAAAGTGCGCCTACGGTCCGAAAACTTGGAACTACTGAACACTCCAGATTTGTTGACCAAAACAACTAAGAGATTTGAAATTTGACGAATCGGTGGCACAATTATCAGAACTCTTTAGTGAGTCAGCTTTACTGTTCAGTATCCGATACG